GTTAGTCTTTGTCTGAGCCCTCGACTGTCCAGTCGCTCCACTGACTCCACTCTATCTGAGTGCCAATCATTACTCCATTATCCATGTGCTCACCGGCCATACCATTGGACCAGCACTTCATGTTCTTCTCATAGCTAATCGGCCACACCGTTGGACCAGCTCTTCATTTCATATACTAATCGGCCATATCTTTGGACCAGTATTTTTAGACTTATTTTGTTATTACTTTTAACAGTGCTTTTAATCAGTTTTACCAATTCATTCATTGTAACATTAATTGCCATTAATTGTGACTTAAAATAAACTTACGTTCGTTAAGTAACTCATTTGGTGTTCAAACCATCGTTCAAACCCAACTCTGGAGACAAAAGTACAATTGTCTGCCAGCTGTCCATTTCGATCAGAAATATTCTAATCGAAATCAATCAGAAGTTTTCTGATCAAATCATTGCTCATACGCCGCGCCGGGCATTCACATCAAACTACCCGATCAGGACGTTTGCATAGCTCACGCGCGCGCCACTCATCACCGCTCGGCTCTCCACCACACCTCTGGCCACGATTTGTGTGAACAACTTTCTCATCAAACCCTCTCCACGACAGCACTGCCTCTCTATCGGCGCCATCGATCAGACAGCGCACCGTAAAGAGTCGGCACAACTTATTATCCTTACCGGCGGGTCTCGACCAGAGCTCACGCCGTAAGAAAAGGTTAATATTTGATTTAGATTTAACGGCAAATACAGAATATATGATACAATATATAAAACATTGGGATAAAAGCTGTAATTATTTAAAACACAATTTAAATATATTATAAAAATCAATTGTAAAATTCATCAGTTTGTATTTGAAAAATAATTGCCTAAAACAATAATGACCATGTCTGAAATGAATGAGAAAGCAATTTATTTGGTATATACTGTATATATAACTAGTTTTTCTAGAAAACACTTTTACTGTAGTTTTTAAAATCTATATAAATTTTACAATTTATTATTCAACACTATTTTAATTAAAATAAATAATTATACACATTCTTTGGTTAATAAAATTGTTAATTGTGAAGTTAATTAATTTGTGAAATTGTGAAATTAATTTTAAAAATATTAACCCTGTTGAATTAATTGTGGTAATTGTTTCCGTTGATTATGAATTCAAAGCCGTTATCAAAAGAGCAAATTGAGCGCCGCCTTAAATATCATTCTAGTTTAGGCGTTAAACCTGGTGACATGATTGAACATGAGGGTTTATTCATGCTAAACAAACCTGGTCGACTTGATTGGCTTATTGCCATTAAGAACACCACTGTTAGGCCGACAGACATATGGCTCTGCGGTTACCCGAAGTCAGGCAACACTTGGCTCTCAGAGATTGTGTCCCTAATAATGGCCGACGGAGTGGGAGATAGAGTGACCGATCGACCCATCTCTGAGAGGGTGCCCAACATTTTCCATTCACCAAACAATCAATTTAATTATGATTTATTCGAGGGGTTAACTAATCCCAGAATTACAGTCAACCATTTGGAGCTCAAATATTTACCACGTTTTGAAGGCAGAGAGGGAAAGGTATGGGAGAAAGAAAGAAAGAAAGAGAGAGAGAGAGAGAGAGAGAGAGAATTTGAATAATAATTATAATTTGATTTTCAGATGATATACATTATGCGTAACCCAAAGGACGTGTGCGTCTCGTGTTATCACTTCCATCATATGATTAAGAAAACTATAGATTGGGTTGACTTCAGCCAACTCTTCATTGACGGACACCTATCCACAGGCGATTGGTTGT